GGAGGCCCTCTCTGTGGGAGCGTATCGGCCGGTGGGAGGCAATCTGTGGCAGAAGGCGGTCTCGGAGGTAACCAGGTCCAATGCCATGGTGCGCTTTGAAGATGATAATCAACACCTTGAAGCGCACCCGGAAGGCCACAGGCAGCCAGTGCAGCTCGCGCAGCAGCGGCGTTACATGGGAGCGACGAGTTGCTCCCATCACCGCCCGCGCGGCCGCATTCTGGACCAACTGGAGCCTCCGAGTGCTCCTCAAGGGGAGCCCCATGTAGAGAGCATTACAGTAGTCCAGGCGGGAGGTGACAAGAGCATGAGTGACTGTGCGCAAGGCATCCCGGTCTAGAAAAGGCCGCAACTGGTGCAAAGTAAAGCATCAGCCTCCAGTATCATCATTTCCAAGAAAGTTTGTTCTCTCTAGGATTCTTGAAAAATAAAATAATGAATGTCTGCAGCATAGAACTTCATTTGGATGTGTGCCCCCCTACTCAGAAAAAAGGCAAGAATAACTCTGGAGGGGATATAAGGCGCGTTTCCAGATTGCCTTCTAGTAAAAATGGGTCTTTCACTGCATGCTTTCAACACTTCAAATGTGCCTGTCAGCTGAAAAAAAAAAGCCCTCTGAACGAAAAGATGTAAATAATATAATCATTCATTGTACTTTAAAAACACAATTCATAAAGAAAGGCTTTCCTATTTCTCCTGAAATATTTCAGGTTCTTTTCAAAAGCAATGCTCGTGGCTGCAGGACTCTTTAGAGAACAATGTGGAAGGGTGTTCAGCAACAACAAGGAAAGGGTAATGTGAATGCAGGTGTTTTGCAGTCGGGTTAGACAGACATATCACAATGGTATTCCCCAAAACATACCTGATCAGATTTTGAAAGCATCTCTTTCTCAACATTTGACCTGACTTTATCCCGCGGAAGATGGCAAGCTCCCATTTCTGTCACATTTGTCTCAGAAGATGAACAAATCAAGCCATGCCCATAGATGTCCTCTTCATCACTTGATGCATCTCTCTCAGCTCTAGCACTGTGAGAGTTACTCATCCATCCACTGCCATGTTCAGTGATGATGCCTTTGAAATCCTGTCCAGGTAGCATCCTCTCTTGAGGATTTATTTCTTTTTCAGAAACAGCAGGATAATGCTCAGGAGGATTTCCAGGGACTCTGGATCGTAAAGATGGTTGCTGCTCCATTACCTGAGCAACTTCACTCCGAACAAACAATTCATCAGTGTAAAAAGTAGTGTTCCTATTTACAGATATCCCTTTTGCAGAGTTGGTCTCTTCTAGGGAAGCCGAAGTATCCAGCAGATGTAATTCATTTAAAGTGCACTTTGTTTTACATAGAAGAGGAAAATGCTCTTCATCTGGCGATATCCGTTTTGGGCCGGTTTCTATTTTTTCAGACAGGAGGTTCCGGTTGTGTTCACTATCATCACTACCCATTTTGTTTTCCACAAGAAGCAAGCAGGAATTCGTAACAGGTGACGAATCTTCTTCATTCTTACAATTAGAAAGTTTTAGCAGTTCTAGTGCCTCCTGGCTGCCATCAGGTGTTAGAGCAACTATCGACTCCAGAGACTGAAGGACACTGAATGCTTCAGTATCATTTTGTGTATCCATACTGAACACAGAACAGATGCTTAAACAGTCTGTGGTGCTGCCTTGGAGGCTAGAACTAATGGAGCATGATTTCACATTTAGAATCTGAAGACTATCAGCGAAGGCTTGCTGTTCATAAGATGGTGTGCTTCCTAGAGAGGTAGGATTTCTCCTGGTGCCATTTTCTAAATTCAAATGTAGTTGGAAAAGGTGGAGAGGTAAGATAAGTTAAAGGAAGGAAAGGAGAAGTTTATTAAGAGCCAAACACCACAAATAAAAATTAAAAATTTGAAATTATACTTCATTCTGACTTTACCCTAAGTGAGCCCGTAGACTTAAACTGCCTACATGAACGCTAGCAATAACAGAAATACATTTTCTTTAGTGTGGTGCCCTCTGAGTATACAACTGCTACCCTGGATAGGAATACTAGGTGTTGTGATCTCATAAATCTGGAAGGCACTGAACTGGATGTCATGAAGTATTTTATGGTCACTCTAAAGTAGAAATGCTACTGAAGATTTCAGGCAAGAAAGTCTTCTTCAACTCTGTTTTTTTTAAAGCTTATTTAGCTGAAGATGCTGGAAATTAAACCTGAGTTCTTTTATAAAGAGAAAACACATTTTGTCACTAAACATGATACTCCCAATTGCAACTTTAGCACAAACGTAACTAAAATATTGTGGTACCTAAGAAACAGAGCCCTGAATCAGAAAAGCACTTTCTTTTGCCATAAATTAAGTAGGAAATTTGTCTCACCTTGTTCCATGCCCTCCTCTGCACTATAAAATAGCAACATCATTAATCTACCTACCCAAGACTGCTTTAGGATTAGAAGCAGCATTTTGGAATATCTGAACTGCTATAGAAAGGCTGTTTTCTGCTATAATCATTCCCAACACCAGGAATAAAACATAAAATCCAATACTTGATTCCACATTTGAAATTGGAACATCATATTTCATCCTTCTGCTTTAAAAACATATTGACTCAGTTGTGCAGGTCCTTGGACCAAGAGATACTGAAAGCTAGCTAAAGCCAGGAATCCAATCAGGGGTAAAATTTACTATCCAATTAAGACAGAATTACCTGTGTAAATGACAAGTGTAATCTGAATCAAAATAGCCTGACCACCATATGCCATGATCCAAAAAGCAAAGGTACTGGGTAAAACTCTTATCTTAATGATAACAAATGTATAAACTAATTCATTCTGAGATATGTTGATTAACAATGGTAAAAATTAGTGTTAATTTTATAACTCATTAATCCTGTAACATTCTATTAGATCCGAGTGGAATTTTACAGGCTACATACAAAAGGGGGAAAAATTAAGAATGTAATTAGTTTTTCTCACTAAGCATTTACCTGGCTTTTTCTTTTTCTTCTTTTTCACTTTGATTGGTTTTATAATCAGTTCCTGGTTGAAATCTTCTGAGCTGATCAGGCTCAACCTTTGTGAAATTTGTGGATCCACTCTCTGTGTTTCTGATGATGTTTGATCCCCATTGGTCAAGGAACTGGAGCCACTGTCCACAGAATTCATAGAGCTGCTCCTGCTTCTTGACTCACTGACTACAGAGTAGCCTCTTCTTCTTGGGTCAGTGTTCAAGTCTCCTAATCCATCAAAGCTCTGTGAGCGAATTTTCTGGGCTATCAATGCTACTTCCTGGTCAGCTCTTCCTACAAAGCCATTTTTGTCACTAGGTGTTTGGGGTGAAGAGAAGTTACTTGATTTGGGGTTTGCTTCTGGAGAGGGATCACATGAGACTGAAGCAATTACTGAATGCGGCCTCTCTAATTTTGGGCTCACATTGGACTCCAAGCTGGTCCAAGCTTGTGAATTTATATCTGAAATGTGACAAATTGATAAATATTAGATGACAATTTACAGCAGGGGTAGTCAACCTTGGCTCTTTTATGACTCGTGGACTTCAACTCCCAGAATTCCTGAGCCAGCACAGCTGGCTCAGGAATTCTGGGAGTTGAAGTCCACGAGTCATAAAAGAGCCAAGGTTGACTACCCCTGATTTACAGGAACAAGAAAACACAGGAATGATTTATAAAATACAATTAGTGTAAAATGAGTGGCTAGAGACATCACCTTCCTCAAATGAGTACTTCTTCAACAACATATATAGTTTATTCATAGATTCTGCTGTTTCCATTATTGTAAGATGTGCTTTTAAAAAGGCTAAATTAATCTTTCACAACTTTGCTAGTCATGTTAACAGCAATAGATGTAAACAAATATGAAGGAAAGTACATTACTTATACATTTCCTAGAAATATCCACCTAGCTATTGCCGAAAAAAGGATATTGGATCTAAGAGAATCATTTATATTATTTACATAATATCTGATGTTTTTCCTACAATGATGATGATAGTAATGAAAAATTGACTAGAGAAAAAGGTAAGACCTAAGAACTAATATAATATGAACAGTAGGCAAACTCTTTCTAGTGTCATAACATCTCATATAAAGATCAGGTTAAAATCTTTATTTTCTTAAAACTGTTCTACCTTCACCAAAACTAATTGTTAGTGACATTTAATATGATCTGGCAACATTATCAAGGAATAGTTGCAATGAGATTGGTAGCCATATAAAAAATAAAATAAAATCTATTCATGTTTTAGTGTAAGAAAGGCTTTCTCCTTTGTGCCAATGACTAAGTCATTTGACTACTGAGAAAATCAAATAAATAGTGGAGAGTTCCTGGCAATAATAGTGTTGTCTCTTGCAGTGATCTCCATTTTTAGACACCTGCAACAATAGTTAATGAAGAATTGTTTCCTAATAATAAGGTACATACGGAGATTTATGCATGCCCCTTGCCTCTGGCATTTGATATTAGGTTTAAGAAATGATTATTTTTGAGCTGTTTTACTGAATATAGCTTGTGTTGTTTCAATATAGTTTTTATATTATAGTTATTTTAAATTTTTCATTCTTTTGTATGTACCCCGTCCATATCTATGTCACAGAGAGAGTTAGACATATTTTAATAAAAATAATTTAATGAAAGAATACAAGAACAAGAATGTTCAGGACACAATCATTTTATATATACTATATATACTACTTAATACGCAAACCTATTGACACCAGTCCTTCAGGCCTGTTTGAGATTCTAATGATATCTCTGTCTCCCTTTAAAAGGAATATCTCATTTTCAGTACAGGACACAGATACTATATCACCACATCCTTCCAAACTGCCAATCATGGTCTGTGAAAACAAAGAAAGTGAAAAAAATGATAGGACTACATTAAGAATACAGTTCCTATTTCAGAATTTTTACTTTTTTTTATACAGTGATTTTTTGGAAATCAATGGTATATAATCATCCACACCATCACTTGCTTGAGGGAACACACCTGAGTGGCTATGATTCCCCCTCCCCAGCGCTCAATTGAAGGCTTCCTTCCTGCCCTCAAACTAAGGCCTGCGCATATGAGCGAGCAGCGCACCTGGGCTACGGACGGTATTGGTTCCTGTGCCTGGCCGACACCAATTCCGCGCTTCATCCCACAAGCATGCAAACGAAGCAAACACTTCCCCCCCCAGAGAATGGAAACTTCCGGGGGCCATGATCTCTTTTGCAGAGAATGGGTGTTTGAACTTGCGCGATATTATGGCATCCAGGGACTTCCATTATCAGTGCGAAAAGCATTTCCAAGCCAACTCTACTCTCCCTCAAAGAAAAAGAAACAGTGGCAGAGGAGACAGATTTTTGCAAGGTGAGTCCTGCACAGTAGGAAGAGGGGGGGAAGCATGAGGTATCTTAGTAGGTCGGGGAAGCCTTGGGGACCTGTTTCATCACTAGGCCCATGGCCTTCCCCACCCTGAGATACCTCATGTGCACTTAGCAAACCACGCATTCGCCCACATATTCGATTAGTGAATGTGTGGGCAAAAGCAGGGCGTGATCTCGTTCAAGGTACGAGAGTCACTCCCACAAATTCTCGAGTTATGAATAGAATGGGCAGGCTCCATTACATTCGTAACTAGAGGACTACCTGTACTTTCAAGAAACCAAGCTCCAGGAACAAGATAGACAGCAGTGGTTTGCGACTCTACCTGTCAGCTTCCCTACTGACCTTCTGGGAAAGACAGCAGGGAAGACTGCAAATAGCAATCCTATGATCACAGAGTACTTGGCAATCCATCGTAAGTGCAAATGGGTTGTCAAGTCCCCAGGACACAATCACATGTAACTTTGGGCATAGGTTGGAAATCCCTTCATTCAGCACCATTGTAATTTCAAATGGTCACTGAACAAATGGTTGTTTTTTTAAATCCAGGATTACCTGTATATAGATCTGCGTACTTGGAACTGATAAACATTTTCTGAAATTCACTAAATTTGTTACGGTCTTTTTTTATTTCAAAAATAAATATATTTCCTTTTAATTGCGAGTTCTGGTATCCTCCCAAAATAAGAGATTTCATATACATTCCCAAGTGTATGAACTATTAAAAAAAATCTGTGGCAGCAGCAGATCACATAGTAGTATGTGGTGCCTCATAGACTGCCACCTTTAATCTGTTTTCAATTTCCATGTATTGCATTCACTTCATTGGATACATGGAACATAATCCTGGGGAAAACGCACAAAATATATATTCTGAGGGGGTACAAAGATTTAAAAAGTCAGAGATAATTCAGAAAATTCTCTCCCTATATTAAGTCTTAAAAAGGCTTATAATCTAATTGTCTAGGGGAAATACAGTAATTGCAAATTGTGTATTAATTTCTAAGAGTTACAAAAATTAGTTTGAGAATCATATGCACCTTACATACTACAGCCCAGTGCAATCCATTCCTTCAAATCAAGTTATAAAAAAACCTCCAGTAAATCACATGCCAAAATCTTTGCACAAAACATTTTTCACACTATTCCTTTCTATTATATAACTATCTCAGAAACTAATTACAAATTCGTTGCATTCTGACTTGGCTTTCTTACCTGGTTTACTGTATCTAACACATAAATGCTATATTCATTCCAGCTCAATACCCATCCTTCTTGGGAAAAGCAGGAAATGAGTCCAAACTGTCTTTCTGGAAAATTACAGCTGCTCTTGTTAAAGGAATCCGCTCGGGGATATAATTCAAAAGGCTTCATTCCAGCAGCAAATACATCTTTCAAAAGATATGTGGCTTGAACCGTCCCATGAACATCTGATTTCCAAAGGCGAATCCCAGGCCTCGCAGCAAAGAGCATTAGGTCACTTTGCTTGCACAGCCCAGGAATAAAACAGGCACCAAATCTGCCTGTACTAAAATGTAAAAGCAAAACAATGATCAGTTCAGATAACATATTGGGAATGGGGAAGAAACAATCAATGCTGGATATAGTTAATCTCCAAAGTTAAACTGACAAAAGGTTTGCAAACAGCTACCATCAAGTAACGATTCTTGGGTTATATGTTACTGTTTGTACAAATTACTGCAGTAAGTCTTATGCAAGACATGAAAATGAAGTACAGGGCTTGTATTCAGGGCTTGATTTTTATACAACACCCCCCCCCCAAATATTTTATTTCTACTTTCCTACAGTCCCCTTTACCCTTTTAAATGTTGCTCCCATGGTCAAGAGTATAATGTGTTGTAGGAAAACTGGCAACTCCATCATGAGAATATTTTTAGGAAAGAATGAAACCACTGCTTTGAATTATTCAGATACAGATAATGACTATTTCCCCAGTTGGGAAGGAGGACTAGAAAAAGAAGGCAAAAAGATTTTAATCTAGTTTAAAGATAATAATATAAAAACCAAATGTGGATGTATATAACTCAGGATACTAAGGACTAATTAGACTTTCAGTGTGTTGCTTTTGGTATCAATGTACTGACTTTTTACGTAAAACAAATTATTGTTATAAAAAATCTAGCATATTGTGAAGCAAAGTGTCATTCTCCAAAATATGGATCATCCTTCAATGCATTCCATAAACATTCATAGAAAGTTTTTTAAAAAGTTCACTTTGCCAAATTCAGTTCAGTTCAATATACAAGAAGGGGGAAAAGAAGGATTATTCTGGTTTATAGAGTTTTATAAGTGGTAACATCTATTAATTTGTGAATTAATAAGTTCCCCAGTAACCATTCTGTAAGAGTAGCACAATATATTTTTGAAATTTCAAATGTGCTCATCAGCCCCAATAGGCTAATGACATATTCTAATTCATGACAATTAAAAGTATCTTATATTTTCAGTTAAGCACACCATTTTAAATACAAATAGTAGTTGAAATCATGCACCTTTTAAAAATAACAATTTTAAATATTTTTCAAGAAAACTATTTGACCACTCAAGAGTTCAAATCTTATCACTGTGAGTTTTAAATGCAGACTTTCCTTCAAACCAAAATTTGATAATTACGTTTTTCTGGGTTGAGTTCCCACTTGTTTGACAGATTTTTCTTCAGTATAAAAAAGTGCAGTTCGTTGTAAAGTGGAGATCAACAACACTTTCTGGCTATAGTCTAACTGTACAATTGAAGATGGTTCTTCCAATATCAAACTGGAATTGCAAAGACCCTAGAAAGACAGAACATGGATACAGAATCCTCTGTTAGATAACCAGATTTCAATATGATTGGCACCCACTGGAATCCAACTCACATAATTCATCTGTCACCATCTTGAAAATGACCAAATGTTCCCTCCTGCCCACAAGTTAACAATATCCACTTACTACTCATTATCCTATTAGTCAGGAGATGCATGGCTTCTCAGAACCACTATCAGACACTATTCAAGTTAAAAAAAATGTCTCTCAATAATAGATGTCCTACTTGATGGCTCCCCAGAGGCAGTTGGGTGGCCACTGTGAGGAAAGATGTTGCTGGACTACATGCATCCTTGATCTGATCCAGCAGGAATCTATATTCCAGGATTCAAATTTTGCAAAATAATGTTTTAGTCACAATAGCTATTTACCTGATCTAAATCCAAAGCAGAATAAACTATTTTCCCTCGGTCATCCCCAGAAAATAACTTCATTCCATTAGCACTCCATGCCAAGGCTGTAATGCTACTTTTGTGAAAACCAGACACATTAAATCTCCGAAGCTGCAAATAAAGACATCATGTATCAATACACTGTATAAAAAAGATTGAAGGGAAAAAAGAGGAAATATATATTGGATTGATTCATTAGTCTAGTTTACAACTTGGTATTTCGCACTTTGACTATTTTGTTTTAACATATACATGAAAGTTCACTGAATATTCTAATAGAGAAAGGAAGGAAAGGGAGGAGAGAGGAGAGGAAAGAGGGGAGAGGAGAGAAAACTCAAAAACCCAGGGATTTTATTCTCATAAAACGCCCAGAATGGAGTTCCGGCACCTTTTTTGGATGGAACCTTATAGGGTAGGCAAAGCAGGTTGTATGACGTGTGTGAGTTCCAGCACCTTTTTTTTTTTATAGAAAAAAAGCACTGCAAAAACCTATTGTATTTGAAATCACTAAATAGATTTTTTTAGATGTCATAATTAAGGAATTACACACTTAATTGGAATAAGTCTTGACTAGCAAAAATTTCACATATGGTCCTTACTTGTTTGTTTCTCCCAGGTAATGAAGAAACAAGCTGAAAAATAGCAATCTTGCCTGAAACTGTTCCCACTGCAACAAGATCATCAAAGCAGTTTAAGAGTTTCACGATGGTAATGGATTCATTCTTCCCCTAATAAAACAAAAACAAAATAATGATTATAAAATGAAGAAATAAACTTTACTTGTTTAGGTCAGAAGATACTGTTTTTAAATCAGGACCTGAAGGCAGTTTAATACTATCTATGTAAAAAGAAAGAATTAAAAAGTGAATCTCAAAATGTAGATCTGACAAGTGAATAGCTTGATTTAAGTAAGAGGTATGAAACTAGAAGTATAAAAACTGGACGCTGTCATCATGTTAGTGACTCAGAGATTTTGTCACACATCTTCGTTTGGGTGAGAGTGAGAAGATTATGGATAAAAATATCTACAAATTGTACAGCAATTTTAGGCATTATATTGCTGGTCCTAAGAGGTTTGTTTAGTTAGTTATGAATTTATTTTAAGGCCCGTCTCCATTTCTGCAGCAGATTTATTTTTTAACACCCTATAGATGAACAATTGCATTAGTTATAATATTAAAAAATCTGAAAAGTGTTACTGCTGAATGTTGACAAAGATTTTACGGTATCTTGCTGCTACTACTATTTGTTTTTATTTAACAGAATCGTGAACATATTATACCACAATGAAAGGATTGCTTTTGTTGCAAACTGTTATCTGGACTAAATTGAAGGTGCTGGTTTTAACTTTTAAATCTTCATACAGTTTTACAAGCAAACATTTCCTTTTTTATGAACTTGCTCAGTAATTATGATTTATAAGCTTTTTGAAGACACTAATATTCATAAATTATATTTAGAGAAGCCAGGGGTACACCTCCTCCTCAAAAGAACATTGCTGGGCCCAACAATCTGGACAATTTTTGCTGTCTCCAATCTTCCCATTCTGGAAGAGTGTTGTTGGAAAAGTGGTTGGCTGCAGCTTCTAAAAGATCTGGAGGAAATAAATTATCTGGACTCTTTTCAGTTAGTTTAAAGCATATCACTGAGACAGCACTAATCACACTTGCAACTACCCTAGATTTTTCATGGTATCCTTCCACAGCAACCAAGAATTTAGGAGTGGGAGACCCAAGTGTTATGATAATTATCTTATTTTCCCCCTGGCCAGTACCAGTCACTGTTGATAAGAGGAGAGAGATTTAAGGTTTAGTTCTTTGAGGGATATCTCTCTCCAGCTATTTCTTCCCATCTTATACAATAGAGCAGAGTTGGTTGGCTCCAGGTCCCATCTATTAAACAATGTCATCTGATGGAATCCAAGAAGCCTGTCTTGAGTCTTTCAAAGATTCAAACAGCAGCTGTCCTTTAAATGAACCTTGAAGATCTGGCTCTTTTCCTGAGCTTTAGGCCAGTGGCCCCCCAACCTTTTGGTCACCAGGGACCAGTTCTGTGGAGAGAGGTTTTTCTGCATCCTGTGGATGGGGCTTTACTTGTTTACGCGGCCCAGTTTCTGGCATGCTGCGGCCCAATGCTGGTCCATGGACTGAGGGTTAGGGACCCCTGCTTTAGGCTACAACAGATTGTGGGAATCCCTTTGCAAGGGGGCTCTTATATCTGTTCCCACGTTCCCATAGGATGATTATCTTCTATTCTCTACTGTTCTAGTTCTTTAGTTCGCTCTCTCTCTCTCTCACTCTCATAGACACAGACTCTATATATCTATATCTATATCTATCACCCTGTCACTGAAAAGTTGGGTGGCTTTAAAAAAAATGTGTCTTAAAAATGTATTAATGCTACTGAAGATTTTAGTCTCCCATTATGAGAAATCCTGTACTCTACTGATGGGCTGTCTGCTAAAACAAAGCAAGGCTATGGCATACACCAGTGGTGGCGAACCTATGGCACAGGTGCCAGAGGCGGCACTTGGAGCCCTTTCGTGGGCACATGTGCCGTTGCCCCAGCCTTCCTCCCCTGACCCCCTCCTCTCCAACAGCCCCCCTGAAGGAGAGTCGCCCTCGAGTGTGGCCCACATGGAGCAGCGCAGCCAAGGACATGGCAGCTAGGCAGCGTAGACAAGACTCTGCCCTCACACCCCATCATGCATTTGATGCTGCAGGACGCAGGCAGAGGGTGTGGCTGCCATAGCGCTGCTGGGCTGCCTGGGCGATCTGCGGCGGGCCCTGGAGGCGGTGAGTGGTCCTGTGGGCAGGCGGGGCGGGGAATGGGGGGGCAGAGCGGGGCGGAGCAGGGAGGTGGAGCAGGGGCGGGGCCAGTTTTTGGGCACTCGGTCTCTAAAAGGTTTGCCATCACTGGCATACACAAACTGGGAAGCCTATATTTGTGGAGTCTGTCTGGCAAGAACAAAGAGTATTTATTCACAGAGAATATGCACGTATAACACTTGTATCCATTCTCAGTGGTTAGAGAACTGATAAACAGTACCAAAAAGTTAGACATCCTGCATACCTCAGTTAGAAGTTAGAAATAGGGATGGCCTGGATCAAATAGAATATGTATTAGATAACTCCTGGAGCATTCATTAGACAAGTCTAAGAAATAAGGATGGCTAGAGATCAAAAGAACTATTTGTTAGCTCATTACTAAAATGTTTATTAGATGACATTTCTTATATATTTTGCCTTGTCCCACCTTCTGCTTTAGTGAAATTGTATAAAGCTCTCTTAATCCTTTGTTCTGGGTTCTGACATTTTGCTGGCTGGGACCCCTTTTGCTGAAGCGCTTCAATAAAAGGAAACAAAACCTGCACCTCATGTCTGGTGTTCTTCAGCGGTTTTGGCACCAGGCGCAGACCCAAATTGGGGACAACACTACAAAGGTATGATGCAGTAGAAGAAAAAATGCTTCTTCATTGGGGGAAGAGATTGTTTCCAACTTGTATATGAACACAGCCACTCTCCCAGCTGTTTTCAATGTACTTCACTGTCCTCAGCTATGTAGCAAATAGCTATAGATACTCAGCATAACAATAAAGCAATCATGAAAACCATCTGAATTAGTTTTCCACTTAAAGAGCAAGTACAATTTTCTGGGAGCATTAGTTTTCCAGGTAGCAAATGCTACAGAGTTTTAAAGAATCACAGAACATGTATTAATCTTGATATACTAAAGAATCATTTTAACATTCCCAGTGCTCTCAAAAATGGTAATACCACTGGAAGATTCGGCCCTCACTATATCACATATCCACGACAAGAGGACAAATAAAATTCACCTATCCCCAAATCATCCTCCTTGGCTGAGCCAAATATAGGTAGTCCTCGACTTATGACAATGGAGCCCACAATTTCTGTTGTTAAGTGAGTTTTACCCCATTTTATGACTTTTCTTGTCATAGTTGTTAAGTAAATCACTGCAGCTGACAAGTTAGCAACATGGTAGTTAAGTGAATCTGGCTTTCCCACTGACTTTGCATGTTGGAAGGTCGCAAAAGGGGATCATGTGACCACCGGACATGCAACCGTCATAAATATGAACCAGCTACCAAGTATCTGAATTTTGATCACATTATCATGGGGATGCTGCAAAGACCATAACTGTGAAAAATGGTCATAACTCACATTTTTCAGTGCTGTTGTAACTTTGAACAGTCACTAAACAAACTGTTGTAAGTTGAAGACTACCTGTACAGCATATATTCCATTTCTGTCATTTACTTTGGAAACAATTGCTTATGAGAAAAATGGTACATAAATGAAGTGATAGTGATGAACAGTATAGCTTATGAATGAAAACGTAAATTTATACAGTAAAAAATATGTTTGCCTTAAGTATTTTTTAGGATGTAAATCAAATACAAGTTCCTAAAAAGAGAATGAGTACAATAACTACAAAATAAATATTTTTAATCTTGTTAAAATTAGTTAAAAGAATTTTGAACCTTGTGTATTTAGCTACTGTATTTTTGAGATGCTAAGTTAACCAAATATCCTAAAAAACAGAGCTATGACAATATTAAAATATGGTCTTACCTCAAAATTGTATTTTTTCATCTGATTCAAATGCCTGCAGTACAAATACAGCATGCCAATACTGCTGCCAACAGCTATGTAGTCCTCATTAGTGTCAAGTGCAGTCAAGTAAACCACAATGGAACGAAATCCTTTTTGGATTTTTGTAGGAATGGCATTGAGAAGGTAGTACAAGGGGCAAAACTCCTTGAAGATAAATGATGGGATCACTGATGCCATAGTAAACACAGTGCACTACCTATAGACTAGAAAAGATACATTTCATATATAGTCTTATAGTCCATGAAAAAGCATTTTTTTAAGAGCAAAGGTCTCTAAAATTCAGCCACAATAAACAACAAATAGAATACTCCTTCCAATTAAAATGTAGATTTTTAAGTCATCACATAAATGTTTTAGATCCAATTCCAAATTTTTTCTTTCTGTAGTATAGGTATATACAGTACTAAGGTATCTACCTTGTTTATTTTTAATCTAAGAGAATTTATGCCTGAGATGATTCAAAGTTATAATTGTTTAATTTGTCTTTGTTTCTTTATTCATACATCAGACATACCATACTATTGCTGAGTAAAATATATTAAACTATCCATTATGGTTTTAAAATTTGGCTTTTGGGTATAATGTTAACCTTATTAACTATATAATCTGGGTTATATAAAGTTGTTCAACTTAAATATTGTTCAGCGTTATGTGAATGAACCTTAAGCTGATCAGTCTTTTCGTCTCCTCTGGCACAATCCTAGGGAGAAGACAAGAATCTTTCACATTTAATTATTATGTCAGGCACATTGGATTAGTTATAATTATTATGATAGTGGATTCCTTCACAGTTTAGAATTCAAATGTAATGCCAAACTGAAAATAATTGAAAACAGAAGCAGAAGTTTTCTGAATTTCACCTCAGAAGCACAATGAAAGAAAAGTATGAGCTGAGATAAACTTATTTACATATATTTAAACATATTTCTTCTGCACAAAACTGCACATATTTGTGCAGAATTGTCCAAACTGTTGCCCCATTACAAAGATGGAACATTTAATGAGTTGTGTACCAAATGAGCCATTCTGTTTATTTAAGAAACTACCAGAGTTATCAATTCTACCCCCAAAGAACAATGTGAATGTTTAGTTAAAATATTTCATTGTCGGTGGCTTGCAGTGAGAGGAAATAGAAAAAGATACCTCTGTTTGTAGAATCCATATAATAGAATTCTAGAGATGTGCAAAACTATCAATATTGGAAATGAAACTTTTTGGAGAACTCCAGAACATTGATGAACCTCATTTTATACATACATACATACATACATACATACATACATACATACATACATACATGTATGTATGTGTATATTTTGAATATCCATTATAAAAATATGAAAGTAAAAAGGCAGCATATCTCACTGTACATATTTGCATGCTAATATAATGCATTTTCATTTGACAGTCACCTCATGCAATATGGATTGTAAGATTTAATAAACAGTTTATTCCTCTTCTGGTTTAGGAATTAAATGTATTTCAGGGTTTCTTATCATTAGAAAAACAGATGAATTTAAAAGGATATACAGTAATTAACAGAGCTACTTTATATAGTTTCAAGTAAGGTAACTTATTTTTTCTTCCGTTAAATTTTGTCCAATTCAGAGACTGCCTGCTAAAGTTCCTGCATTTTTTCTGACAAAGTTTTTTTTCAAAACTAGCTTGCCATTGCCTCCTTCCTAGGGCTGAGAAAAAGGGCTGATCTTCTAAGTCCAGTTCCTCTATAGTACAATATTTCTTTTTAGCAGATTTTCCTTTCAACTTCCTCCAAAGTAGATAGTTTATTCAATGGATCTAAAATATTTACGTGTACCTCTCCTTAATAATTTGCCAGAGTGCTCAGGAGCAAGAAGGCCCACAACTGTAATTTTCCCTGAAAACTTTAATAACTGATGAAATTTCAATACCTATTCACAAGGAAATAGGACAGCTCTACAGGACAGCTCTAAAGAGATACACAAATTGTGTGCAAAACAAGAGTTTTAATTTTCATATATTGGAGTTTTTTTATACTTAAGAATGCAATGTTATTAAAAATGTAGGACCACAACTTATATAAAAAAGGAACCATTGTCAACAAACTTTTCAATAATTTAGCTCCTCTCCATTCACTTTTAACTCCATTCACTTCAGTACTTTGGTTGTACAGATTTTTCACAAAATGTGGAATGCAAGATCTTAGTGGGGCAGTGAGCTACATATCCTTCCAGAACTTTAGGTCAGTGGGAAATGGTCTACAAGGAGACAATAATGTATTAGTAAACATAGTTAACAGATGATTTTGAAAGGCAGATGGTTTTGAAACAGATGATTTTGAAAGGCAGATGGTTTTGAAACAGATGGTTTTGAAAGGCAGGAGCTAAAATGGAGGGGAAATCCATCAATTCAATGGACACCTTTCTGAAACCAAAAAGTGTTGAACCCCCAATTTTCACCAGCACCTGAGGGGTGCTTTGGAGAGGCATTTCCAGAATAGGGCAGCAAAACATCGTTTAGTTCTAGTTACAGCTGGCAGAATCCGCTTCCACGCGTTTTTTAATGCCAAGTCTCTAACAGAGAGCTAACCCAATTTCATTCTTTTGTGCAAGTGCAGATGACTGTCAGCGACCACAGCAAGCATACAAGCCATTTAAAGGGGAACCAGATTTGCACCAGCTAGTTCCGCCCCAGCATCTCTTTCTTCAGAAGTTAAGGGAGAGGGAAGAAGACTGGCAACTCGCCCCTCTCTCCTCCGCCACTAAAGAGAGCAGAGCCAGGCAGCAATTCTTTCGAGACATCAGCCCCCAGACCTTAGCAACACGGCCCTTGGAGACCCAGCGCTCCCCGCCCGCCTCGCCTGACTAGGCCGCAAGCTCCCTACCTCAGTAGGACCCGGAGCCCCTCATGATCGACAGGGAAGCGGTAGCCGCTCCCTCCCAGGCCTGGCTACGCTGGGAAAACAAACCCAGCGCCAGCGCTCACGGCCGACGAGGAGCATCTTAGCCAGGCGGGGCCGGACGTGAGCGCACTTCCGAGAGGAGGGATTTAGGATGAGGGTCGCTGGCCGCGCAGGCGAGGAGGGAGATGGCTGGTGAGTTTTCTGAGTGGGGCAGGTGGCGGCGGGGAGGCTTTCTCACTTCTTCGCTGGGCCGCGGCTAAGGACGTCATGTTTTTTGAGCGGGGAGGGCTTTCTGTTTAATGGGGGGGGGAAGCGGGTGAATGGAGTAACTAGGGGCCGGGCGGCGATGTTTCTGCGCGCCTCTGTTGACGCGGATTGAAACCCGCTGAAAAGAAAGAAAATCTAGTCAGGCGACCCTTTCGGTCTGTCTTTGTGGTACGAGGTCAGTGGACTGAACGCGCGGGAAAGATCCAGCGTTGGAGATTCTTAGGATGGGTTCTTCACAGCGTGCGAGGCAAAACTTAAATCAGTGTTTCTCAACCTTGACAATTTTAAGGCATGTGGACTTCAACTCCCAGAATTCCACAGCCAGCATTGCTGGCTGTGGAATTCTGGGAGTTGAAGTCCACATGCCTTAAAATTGTCAAGGCTGAGAAACACTGACTTAAATACAGTGGAGTGGGTTGTGCTTGTCTAGGTAGGCGGCACATCCTGTCACATCCTGGTCTTTCCCTTGTGCCCAGATGTAGACTATAAATCTGGTTTACAAAAGCACAATTGGTCCGTTTACATAAGCAAACAATTCATACAACAATTTAATGTGGTAACTGAAAACCCAAAGCAAGACCGGGCATAGAAATTTGGTTAGAAAACCACCAGAAATACCATATCGTTGCGGAGAAATCTGAGTGGATATCTCCTTAAATCCCCAAGAACAGAACTCAGGAGAGTTTTAAAAATATTTTTAGTTTGTAGCTCAACCAGTGGTAGGAGCCACCCTTTTGTATTAAGTTGTGGGAACCAGTTAGCACATTAAATTGTTGTATGAGTTGTTTGCTTATGTAAATGGACCAATTGTGCTTTTGTAAACCAGATTTATGGTCTACATCTGGGCACAAGGAAAAGACCAGGATGTGACAGAAAACATGCCTAATGTGGAAAATGTTATCTGCTTCTTCCAGGTTTTGCATATTTATTTTGTCCAGACAACATATAAACCTGTTTTCTGTTGACACATACTTCAGGTAGCGTGGTCCATATGTGACAGGAAAGATTAGATCTTTAAAATTTAAATAATTCAAGATCTTTAAAAGATCTTAGAAGTAGATCTTTTAAAAATAGAAATACTAGTAATAAAGCCAACTGAGTGAGTTATTGTGATTTAAATTATTTTAATTTTGTGTTTTAATAAGCTAGTACCACTACTCCTAGGACACCTGTATTGTCCATAAGTGCAAGAAAAATTAAAGATAATGCAGCAGATTGGCACAACCTAATGATGAAATGGGAAACCTTGAATGATAATGGATTTTCTATTGCTACCAAGATTGTGAACATCAAAAATGCTACACAGTAAGTACATTGAACTAATTTATCAATATTCTTTGTGCAAAACTCATTTTTATTTCATTTAAACTGGATTTTTTAAAAAAAAACATGGTCATGTGATGCACTCAGAAGTTTAAAGAGATTATGTTAAAGAAAGATGATTCTCTGTTAGAATTAGACAGTAAGATGAGAGATAGTAAAAGCATTTTTCTTAAATACTAAATGATTTTTTAAATTATTTATTAGGTTTAAAGACAGCAAATTGGAGATAGAACATGAGGATCCCTCTGACCATGAAAGACTGTCACTTAATTATAACATGGAACTGGAGCAGTGCTGTACAGAACTACTTGAGACTTTTAAAAATTTGGTACTTCTTACAAGAATCTGCTGAGAAGCATTTCTCTACTGACTAGTCAACAGAAGCATATCTGCAGCAAATTGTCATATTCTCTTTTAATTATTTTATCAAGCCTAATCAAGATAGCAACCTTTAACATGAAAACATAAAGACGTAAAGCATATAAGCCAGATTTTAAATGAATCTGTACTATGCATATTAACTCGGGTGCCAAACAACATTTTTAAACCATGTTTAGTTGTGGCTGTTAAAAAGATCCTTAGAGAAACATGCTTTATCACTATTGCTTACCTTGTCTGTGACCCTCTTCAAAATTTCTTAGCTGCTAAAATTAGTGTTCAAGCAATTTGGCTCAAAATGTTTACTGAACTTTAGCTTCTAAAATGTTGAGTCTTACTTGTTCTCAATTTTGCTAGGCTAAAATACATGAGAAAATGGAAAAACTGTGTTCAACAACTAAAGGGGTCTGTGATCTAGAAACATACCATCATGCAGGAGAACCCAAGGCACCATTATTTCACACATGGCCTGTTTCCTATTTCTGTAAGTAAATCTGTCTTTTTGTTGAGTTTATTTGAAAATGATAACAATGAGTCAGTAGCCCTTGAAACCTGTCCTTCATAAATTTATCAGATCTCTTTAGTCACATGTAAAAAACAAATGTCCAAATCTCTTCCTGGTTAGCTTCATTGGATGATTTTTGGTTGCATTTCCTTACCAACTTGTTTACATTTGCAGTTTTATATCCCTCTTCTCCCTCTCAGTTGCCTTATTGCAAGCTAAAGAATCTGAAACATTCTAATCCTTTCATTAGGGAAAATGTTCTATACTTTATTCATTTTGCTGTCTTCACTTTTTTCAGTTTTATTATATCATCATAGAGTTGGAAGAGATCTTGGAGGACATCTAGTCCAGAGTTCCCTAACTTTTCCAGGTTGGCGGCCTGGAGGGGGGGAAGAGAAGATGGTTTTGTGGGAGGGGCAGATGTGTGTGCACGTGCATCCGTTGCTCGTGCGAGTGGGGCCAAGAGCACCTGTGACTCGCATGAGGCCCGAGTGCTTGTGACACTCGCACAAGTGAGGCCCTGAGCGCTCATGCAAGTGAGGTCCCAAGTGTTCATGTGAGTGGGGCCGTGAGCGCCCATAACACTTGCGCGAGATTCTGAGCACCTGCAACCCTCACACGAGTGGGGCCACGAGCGCCCGCAAACTTGCCTGAGTAAGGCTGTGCACACACACTAGCCAGCCATTCACACGGCCTGGTTACAAATAGGCCACGAACCGGTAGTGTGCTGCGACCCACAGATTGGGGACTCCTGATCTAGTTCAGCCTATTACCCCATGCAGGAATTCTTAGACCATTCCAGATAAATGACAGTTCAATTCTTGAAAGCCTCCAGTGATGGAGCACACACAGCTTTGCAAAACAAACTATTCCAGTTCTAAAGCTCTCACAATCAGGAAATTTGTCATTTCTCTCTGTGTGTTAAGGTTCCACCTGTTTGTTCTTGTCTTACTTCAGACGCCAAAGAGAATAAATCCAGTTCCTTTAATTGTGCTTTGTAGGACTTACCAACTTTATTCATCTCCTTTTCACTCTTACCTTCTTCTTGGGCTTCCCCTTCTTAATTATCTAATAGCCCAATTAACCTAGTCACTGTGACAAGGTTAAATGCCTTGCTGAACTCTGATGAGTAAATAAATGTATTCAGATTGGTTGAACTTTAGTTCTGTTGGGAGCATATTTCATCTAATAACTGCCATTTTCAAGATTCTATATTGTAAATTGAAATAGATGTATCCTACAGTTTAAACCAAAATTATCAGTTGTATAAAACCTTGCACAAAATTTCAGAATTTACAGTTTTTCTATTCAGTAATTAATATTGTAAGGTTTTAAACTAAATTGTTATGTATTGAGGTGAATGTTTAGTAAATTCATAGGCATACTGTTTTCTTGGCAGTAATAAGATTCAAGTGCTAATCATGTCTGATCTACTTTAGATTCCAAGATCAGCCAAATTTTATGCAAGGACTATGTTGCAGGATGCTGAGAAATGTGTCACAAAAATAGGATATGAAAGACAATACAGGACCATTTCTTTTTATTTCTTTTTCAGATGATATCTCCCTCAAGTTCTTAGATATGTATTCACAGGAACTAAAACTCAAGCACACCATTGTGGAAGAAATTGCTCATACTGCTGACCAAGATCTACTGATGGTCTATTTATCATCATGGTTATATCAGCCCTACATTGACAACAGCAACATTGTTTTATTAGAAAGTATGTTGTTAGAAACAGGGCACAGGCAGTTATAACTTTACCTATTTATTTCATATATCACCTTAAACCTTTAAGTAGCAAGAGATATAGTGCTAATATTGTTATGGATTTATATTTTATTACACTTTTATTTGCAGCTTATTTATAATAAAATTCTTGCATTTTTATGATTTATAAAGCTGCTTTTTGTTCCATATATCACAAAGCACAGTTTCATTCTATTTTGAATGAATTATGAGCAACATGGTTATTTTCAGAATAATGTATAGTTTATCTGGGTATGTAACTGAGCAGTGAGAAAATTAGTGATATCTAAGTAATTTAATCCCTAATATTTATAACATATCAATATGTGGGAGTAGTTTCCTCAATCTCCTCAAACTGGATAAAAGGTATCAAGGAAAATCTACAATCTTGTACACTTCTCCACTTATATGAAAATAAACCTGCATAATTATATATATTGTACATAAATATACACAATGTGCAGAAGATATAGTTTCTCTACTTTCAGACTCATATCTTGATTAAACATTACTACTGGCATATAACTTATGACACTTTGTGATTAATACAAGAAAACAAGCAATAGAGTAAAAACTTCAGATTGTGCACATCAGATTTACAAATATGCCAAAACAGAACAATTCCTGAATAGGGTAGTTATTTAACATATGAGTGTTCAAGTCATCATAAAAAAAATTACAAAAACCTAGCAAGATCAGCACAGTTCCCTTCCATTTTCGGCAACATAGTTACCAGATGAAACTCTCTTATGATAGTATCCTAGTATGTAACTGTTCAGTATCTGTTCAGATTGTATTTATAATCTCTGTTTTGACTTCTTTCATCCCAACAAAATGTTGGAAAGATTACGTTAAGGAAATCAGAACTCTGTCAGCAGGATGACTCTCAAAACAACTAAAGAGAATGGGGACAAATTTGCTATAATAAGAGATTCCAGCCAAATAAAGATGATGTCCAAAAATGGGCCAAATCTGGCATGGAATTTACAAAGAAAATAATTCTAGCAAAAAATCCCCAATGCTTCCTTATGGGAAAAGGGAGAGGGAATGGTGCATCTAATCCCTTCATCCTGTACCCCAGGTACTGATGCTATGAATTACTATGTTACATAAAAAAATAAACAGATACCTCTTTTTGTCACTGCTATAGTACTTGGAAAGAATTCAAGAACTATGCTGTATATACTTTCCCTAACTTGTTTAGAATTGCTGTTATGTGGTATGATGCATTATAGCACACTTAGTCATTTCCAAATCACCTTTATGTGGATTATTCCATGTTATTTTTTTAAGGGGCTGTTGCTTAGGTTTTTGCCTGGGATATAAAAGGTCATGTACATAACATGCTAAACTCAGTTAAGGCTTATCAAGATGCATAATAAACTGGCTCTTCTTCAATCAGGTATGGCTAACAAACTGCAGACATCATCCTCATAGCTAGTTTAATATTCAGTGCAATTAAGGAGTCCTGACTTGTTCCAGAAACAAGCTAAGTCCCTAGTTTAACCAATATATTTTTAAAAAACACTTCCAGAAGCTCCCCATATTTTTCCTGTTTCTAGGAAGAGCGGATATGGACATGAAAAGATGTGTTATTAAGTGCAAATGTAGTCTATCAGTGCACTTCACCAAACGTAATTTAATTTAGGCTTTAAAACTCCCATAAAGCATGATATAAATTATTAATTTTTTTATAATATTGCTTTATGTCATACTCTTCACTTCCAAATACTTGAGAGTTATGGATTAAAAATGTTTTCAGTGTAACTTGGATTAGGGAAAATTAACAATATATTTTACAATTGCAAGTATATAGAATAGGACACATCTGAAAATGTGAAATAAATGAATTTTTACTTTTAAACAAGCCATTTATAGATGTGTGTGTGTGTGTGTGTGTGTGTGTGTATGAAAACCTTGACTATCTGTTTATTATCCTAGAATAGGTGATGTTTTAAAACATTAAAATGATTCAATATCAGGAACAATCTGTAGCACTTTAAATCTCAAATAGCTTTTCTACATTTTAAAAAGGTAAAATCGAATTGGAAATCTGATCAAAACAGCAATCTGTAAAGCACTTTTTTTCAAGTTTATTCAGGATAGCATACACAAGAATTTAAATGTTCATTTTTAAAGGAATTCTGGCAGCTGTCCTTAAATTTATACAATACTTTAGGTAGCCAAGCATTAATATATCCATAGCAATTGGTGCAATATATTTGTCTCTTAGGAGAAATTCATTTTCTATTAACTCCCTATAGTATCACTGATTAAGGCCCTCATTAAGATTGTATTTTAGGTGCTGCTAGCTTTCCTGCAGAATTGGCTCATTCAGCCATTATGAGAATATTGATTCTTAGGAAGCCAATACATCTTCTCTTATGCAGACAAAAGCATGTGCAAGTAGGGAAAAAGTGACAAAAGTGGATTGTGATATGATGCAAACTCAAGTTACGTAATTGTGGGCAATATGGCAATGCAACTACAAAAGCATAACGCTTGCATGGTAACATCCCAATGCATGTTTTATCATGTTGGCATCATGGTTAGAAAAAGACAACCTGCTCCCGAATACCTGAAGAGAAGACAATATTATTAGGACCATATTAGCAAAGGGGGAGGAAGATCATCATTCTGGGGAGGTAACACCTAAACCTGGATATTTTTAGAACTTGTGGTATATGTTAAATATGGACAAGCTTGTGGAACTAAAAAAAATCATATTTAATATACATTTCAGGTAGACTTTCAAAACTGTTTCAAAAATATTTTTATAATGGCTTAAGTTTAGTATCACTGTTAGAAGTACTGCAACTTCCAAAGAATTTTTAGAAATATACATAGCAGCAGCAAATTCTTTCACAAACAGATGTATAACATATAGTACCAGGAAGAAGCAAAGCCTATACTCACAAGAAAAGTTCCTAGTTTCCATAATCTTCAACATTATCATGTTGTACTTAATATATTCTTGTTTTCTTCCACTAAAATACTTCCACTATTAATTAATCATATATTTTCAAGGAAGGATGAAGCTAGTCCATTCAATTTCCTGAGATCTAAACTGATGAACTGTTCCTGTGATGTTTAATACTGTTCAAACTATTAAAGTTTAAGAAAGTTCAGAATTTGTTTACAGATAGCATTTTTTCTTAAGTTCTTGATATATTTTACTGTTTTTTCATGAAGAAACCAAGGATGACTATTTTTCAGATGTTTCAAGAAATATAATAAGTCATTTCATTTACTATGTCCCAACTTGAATTTATCTTTGTTCTTCTTGTGAACTATTGTCAGTTGGGCATCTCAAATAATCTAATCCTGGTATATTTACAGGCTGTAAATGTTCAATTTTTCTTGAGTGTGTTGATCACATAAATCTGTATTTGCTTTATCATCTACAATTCTTGGTTGGAGCAATTCATATTCTTTTTTTCCATATTCTTGCAGAACATTTTTGCTGCACATTTCTAAAATGTAAGAAAACACAAAAATACTGTAATTTAAATATATTTTAAAGAATAATCTATATAGCTTTTTGAATATAGAACACTGCAAGATAAGATTTCTTTCACTATGCATAAAATTTGGTATTTTTATTGAAAAATGTGAATATTTGCCAAAATGAAAAAGGTGTGTAAAGTAAACTGTAAATGTATGAAGTAGCAATTGTAATCGCTAACTAATCTCAAAGCTGTACAAAGCTGTTGGCTATAGTAGTGGAAAACGTCTGCCCAAATATAACAAGGCTTCATAAGATATTTCCAGCACCTCTCCATCTGTTTATTTTCTTTATTTAAAAATATCTGTAATTTGCCCTCAAACGGCCTCCCAGGAATTTTTGCACTTGACTTTGTCATAGTGCTAGGACATAAGGTGTGTTTTGCATGCATAAAACATAGGGTTGTGATTTTCATTTCATCTATATTCTACTGCGCCTGATTGAATTCTATCCTCTAGAGGCCACAGGTCTTGAAGAATGGTTTCTCATATAATATTTGGAATGGAAATCCCCATCTATTCTCAAACCCATGAATAAGCAACTGCAGACTATTTTCCAGTTGGTAGTAAAATAGGAAAGTAGAGGTATGCAAGTAATAAATGAAGGAATGGAATAATGTATTTCCATATAGGAGAAAAAAATATCACGTGGGCAACTTTCTAGTGCCCCATCCATGCTTGCAGCTGACTCTATTTGTTAATATTAATGGTACCTCTTCCACGTGAAAGCCCTGGGCAAATGTTCCATTCTCTATCAAGAAACTTGGTAAACATTACACTTTAAAAAAACATCTGCAACAAAACAGCACTCAGTATAAACCATGAATTTAAAAAAATAACTGATCATTTAAAACAGTGGTTCTTAACCTGGGCGGTACCGCCCCCCAGGGGGCGATTTCATTTTTCAGGGGGGCGATGGAACGAAAAGGGGCGGCGTGGGGGCGATGGAACGAAAAGGGGGCGATAGGGGGGCGATGGAGCGAGATGTTTTGGGGACACTTTTGAGCCTTCTCCTGCAGCTCCAAGCGTCCTCCGCCATTTGTAGAGAGAG